TTGTGGCCACCAGTGGTGAGACTTGAGGATGCAATGGGGGAGAGTAACTATCATGTCCAGCGGTCCCTGCCCAGACTGTGCACCCACGCCAACCATGACTGGAGGGGCCGAAGGCGTAACCTGGTATGCTGTACCACATATGTGCAGGCTGCCATATGTCCCAATAGTTTCATGCAATTTCTGGCTGTGGTTGTGGGAAATGGGCGAAGGTTCTCAATAATGTCCGTGAGTGCTTGGAAGCGCAGCTCCAGCAGGAATGCTCTGGCCTGGGTGGAGTCCAAGAGAGCCCCTATGAATTCTATTCTCTGCGTCGGGGCCCGCGTGGATTTGGGCATGTTCAGTATGAGACCCAGCCTGTGGAATGTGGCCCAGCCCAAGGACATATGCTCTGCAGCCCATGCTTGGGACTCGGCCTTGATGAGCCAGTTGGCTAGGTATCGGAATACTCACACCTGACGTTTGCGGAGGAAGGCTGCCATGACTGCCATACACTTGGTGAATACCCCTGAGGAACCTCCTCTATTGCCCCTAGAGCGAGGAGCGATTGCACCTCCTGCAAGAGGAGTTGCTTGTGAGCATGGTCTCTGAAGGAGGGTGGGAGGGAACAGAATTGGATAGAATATCCCACCCCGACCGTGCTGAAGACCCAACAATCTGACATGATCTGGGACCAAGTACGGTAGAAGCAGAAGAGTTGATTCACAAAGGGAGGGGGTAAGGATCCGAGACAGAAACTGATGCGCTGTCTGCGGGTGCATCTTCAAAAGTTTGGCTTCGGGCCCGGGGGCTGTTTGACCAAATCCTGGTCTTGGCCTGAGGAGGACTGTGGCGGGCGCCTCCTATTATTTCTGCCCCATCTCCTTGACAAGTCTCATCTAGGAGGCCCAGAGTAGAAGCAGGATGGGGGCTGAGGCTTAAAAGGCTTTCTTGGGGGATCCACACCCTTGCACCTCAAAGACTCCAAAGTCGCCTGCGAGTCCTTAAGGCTATGCAGGCAAGAGTCCATATTTTGGGCGAACAGGCCCACACAGTCAAAGGGGAGGTCCTGTATTGTGTTCTGGACCTCAGGGGTATCCCCGAGACCTAGAGCCATGCACTGCACCTCATTGTGATGGCGGTGGCCAGGGTGGATGACGCCGAATCCGCTGTGTCTAATAGGACCTGGAGGGAGGTTCTGGAGATGACCCTGCTCTCCTCGCAGAGCATGCTAAACTCCTTGCACGAGTCAGCCGGGAGTAACTCCTGGAACTTTGCCAACAATCTCCAAAAGTTGAAAGCATACCGCTTGAGTACCGCCTACTAGTTGGCCACCCGAAGCTGGAGGCCCCCAGTCAAATAGACATTCCAGCTGAAAAGATCCAGCTTCTTAGCGTCCCGTGACTTAGGTGCGGGACCCAGCTGTCCTTGCCGCTCTTTGTGGTTGGCCACATCAACCACCAGAGTCCCCGGTTGAGACAGAAGACTTGGTGTCTGACTCAGACCAGTAGTCTGTGCCCCACCATGGGGAGGGGCGGAGGCGGACGGTGCCGGGGAGCAGTACCGGGGAGATGGTGAGCAGCACCGTAACATCATAGGCTTGCCACGATGACGAACCAGAGGCGATGCTGCCATCGGTGCCACAAAGGGTGCTGGAGCCACATGCGGTGCCAGGCTAGACGCTGTAGCTGGTGCCGCTGACGGTGCCTGGGCTTGTGGTGCCGGGCTCCGTGCCATCATGGCAATGAGGTCTCATGCTGCCTAGCAGATGTCCAGCATGGAGGGAAGGTCGAGCTCTTCCTCCAAATCCTCCCAAGACAGGGAGTCAATCAGCACCAGACTCGACAGGCCTCCCATGGGGGCCAGAGTCAACAGTGCAGGGTCTTGAGGCCCAGACCGTGGGTGTCCCGCCAGGGGACACACCCCGCTGGAGTCCCCTTGTAGCTTTTTGACAGGGGAACAACCCCTGTCTGTGTTCTTTTTCTTATGCAACACTGGGGACTGCAAATGGTGCCGCTTGGTGGCGCTGGCCTTACGGGTTGGGGAGCGGCACCGGTGCTCCTTGGAGGAGTCCTTCCTTGGTGCCGGGACATCATGCACCGAGGCTGGGGCGCTGCGCACCGATGATGCTGGTGCCGCTTCCGGTGCCAGCTGCGGGCAGAGGGCCGACTCCATCAGGAGGAGCTTCAAACGATAGTCCGCTCTCTTAGTCCAGGTCTGAAGCTCCCGCAAATTGGGCACTTATCTGTCTGATGGCCCTCTCCTAAACACTTGAAACAGGCAGCGTGTGGATCACCTGTGGGTATAGGTTTCACACACGTCTCGCACACCTTAAACCCGAGACCGGGGCATGCCCCGGTGCCTGGGGAAACTAGGCCGGGGGTGGGGGGGGAAGAAGCCCCCCGAAGTAAGTCCAACTAATATACAAACTAATATATAATGAACACACACACACACAACTAAGAAAAGTGAACCACTAGGTAGGCACTTGAGAATGCAAGAGACTGAGCTGCTCTAACGACTGTCACTGGCAGTAAGAAGGAATTGAGCAGGTAGTGGGTCAGCAGGGATGTATTTACACTGCCATAAAGGCGCCACTCCAGGAGTCTCCACAGCTGATCCGACGAATACCGTGAGGGGAAAAGCCTTCTGACGATCGTGCATGCGGCATGTGTACACACCTATTGGAATGCACATGAGCAATCAATCGAAGAAGAATATTAGGTTTCTAAAAAAAAACCCATTAAACATCAGAATGAAGCAAAAAAACAATTAACACATTATAGAAAGGTATAAGCACCAAAGACGACATTTTTTTAAAAGTGTAATAAAAAGGGAAACCTTTCACTATGCTATACATTACAAAACAATATTGAATTCAACAGATTTCACTTGAACAGGAAAAATAATGCCTTCGAAAATACTTTCTATTCATGTCTCTTCAATTATTCCTATGCTTTTTGGGGTTTCTCAAGTGGAAAGAGCCAGTTAGCTCTATATTCACTATACTCAAGTATTTTAGTACAGAATAAGTTATTCAGAAACAGAAGAACTTTATAGCAATACTTATAGATCATAATCTAGTGCATCAGATACTAAATTGCAGCATAGGCTAAAACAGACCAGTCAGTTAAAAGTTTGACCTAAATCTGTTTTCAAGGAACACTTCCTCAAGACAGGAAGTCCTGAACCCCTCCTTCCAGTCCTACTTTTAAACATCTTCCTGAATTTGCCCTACTATATTTGAAATGTGCAGTTGCTACATTTTGCAACATTCTGGGGTTCTCTGGAGCAGAGTCCTTAACTTCAAGGGACACTGGAAAGGCCCAGAAGATTTAGCTTCCTTTCAGTTCCTCACCACCAGTTCCACATTTCACTTATTCAAATAAGGCAGCACCCTCTGGCATGAAGAACACTTAAGCAGTCTAGCAATCATATTCATATAAATTCAACGGCACTACCACTTCCTACCCTTAAGCTGTGTTGTGTGTGTGTGTGTGTTTTTGTTCTTAAAACAAAAAAGGAACTATAGCACCTCTGAAGAAATGATTGGTATATTCCATTTCAAAAAAGACTTAACTTTGAATTAAAGGTTGCTAAATTACATCTCTCACCAACAAACCATAAAAAGCAAAGAAAGAAGCAGTAAAGCCATTGAATACCCCTTCTACACTACTACTGTCAGCTTCTCTTAAGTTCCGCCAGCCACAGCTCACATCACTCCCTTCATCCTAGAGAAAACATGCAGCCACATTTATTGGTTATATATTCATATGTTCTGATGATTATTATAAGGTTGGTGTGACTTTCATAAGTTATACAGTATGTCAATTTTATTAGTGTAAATACGATAGACACTGTCAAATTTCAAATGGTGACTGCAAGATATTTTTTCCATGTTTCAAGAAAGTTTTGTGACTAGGTGAACTATATTACTGATTGCTACTAAATTTAGTAGCAATTTTTATATAGAAAATAAAACAAGCTTGTAGCATATGCACATACTGGTGTATTATATTTCCTGTCAGAGCTGAAACTGCATGACGACTTCTAAATGAGAGTGTAAATATGCAGGCTGTGGAAGGTCTTCAGGTTGAGAAAGACTACTGATGATTGGACACTAGATGGGTATTGAGTCACTTAGCTGCTTCTTGTCTTGCTTTTTATGGTTTGCATTGGTGGGATATACAGTTCAGCAATATTAACACAAACCTTGAAAGTTTTGGTGTAAGAATTTTTCAGATTACTAGTAAGTCTGAATCAATGATTGATAGCTATTCATATGAATACTTATCAATATTGATATATTACTTAGTTTATACCTTTAATTATTTTTGCTCTAATTTGTTGAAATAAAATCAAGAAATGAGAGAAGGGCTTATTGATGACAGAAGTTTAAACATTAGAGCTGTAAAAGTTGGAGGTAATATTGCATAAATTGTTAATCTTTATTTTCAAACTTCTGCGTGAACAGATTGTCAAGTTGAATGTCAACACAAGTCAGAAGGTTAAGCTAAGCAATAAAACAGACAGACTGCTTTCACATCTGGAGAATAGATCAGAGATGTAGTTTGTGAATGATAAGATAATAGCTCTGGTAACGAAACATTAAAACGAGTTTCCTTTTAGTTACTAGAGAATATCTGAAACTCCAAATTCAATGCATATTTGCAGCAAACAAAGTAAATGGTATGCTGAAATGCAACAACAAATTTGAGACGGATACTATGAGGAAAGGCTGTGTTGACAGAATTCTTTTTAAAAAAGAATTCACATTTGAGCTTTTTTTAAACTAAAGACTGAACCAAACACTTTCAAAGCTCATTAAAAATACATTTCAAGTAGGTTAAAAACAGAAGTAGAAGGCAAATGGCAGCACACCTTGCTCTCAAGCAGTGCCCTACACATTATATTACAAAATTATATCCTGGCATTGAAAAGAATGTCTTGGCAAAAATCCGGTGGGAAATAAGTCATTGCATGTAGTGTGTTAAAGTGCTTAAGATTAGTAAATAAAAATTTACCTATCTTTTTTGCTTTTCCCCCTTTGTTGCTTCCCTGCAAGAATTCGTAATTCTTCTTCAGTGGGATGCTGATACCATCGTAAACTAAAAGAGAAATTTTAAGTTAAAAAAACAAAACAAAAAAGAGCAATTAAACTCTCATATTTAAGTGAGAGTTAGAAGTTACATATTAAAGCATCTGCTACTTGCTGCTTCTCAAGCAAATACTTTATCTCTGTGTTTGGGAGCGGGGGAGTGGCAGGAAACTGAACCCTGAAACGTTTACAGCTAAGCCTTCATTTCTTTTTGAGGTGAACAGAAAAAACTTTCCAAACACACACAAGTACTTATGTTGCTCAGATCCTAAATTCATAAGAGAATGCATTGACAGTCTTAAATTTTACAAGAAAAGCTCCCTTACACATTAAAACACTGAACTGGTTTAAACTGACATTACAAATACAGCAATTAAGGCCTTGTCTAAATGGAAGAAATTGGAATAGCTATGACAGTCATTACTCTGGAATAACTCCCCTGTGTGGACACTATTTTGAAAATGATTACTCCTCTCAGAAAATGAGTAATTATTCCAGAATGAAGTCACTTTTACTCCAGACTAAATTGTCTACATGTGGGAGTTACTCTGGAAGAGCTATTGCAGAAAGTATGGAGAAGATGGAGCTGGCCAACTCCTCAGGTGGCCCTATCTTCTATGCCAGATAGGATGTAACTGACTAGAACCCTAGGTCCTTCAGTTCCAAAAACAAGAGAGTTTACACAAGAGTTCCTTCTCAGTCAGGTGGTGAGCTGATACATCAGTCACATTTTCATTCTGAAATGTTGAGGCTGGTAGGTAGGAGAGCCTAGGTATTAAAGAAAACACCACAATGGGAAAATATATCTGCACTTACCTTAAAGTTTCTTTTCTTAAAGTAATAAGGTCCACAGATCTGTTACAACAGGTATTTCAGCCTGCTTGTAATTAGGGGCCAGAATCAGATTGGTTGGTCACTGACAGCAAGGGAATGGCCTGCCCCCTGAAGTTCCCCTTAGTTGAGGCAACTTCCAGTCAGAATAATTTAAGTCTACTTTCCTAAATTACGGATTGTGTTAAAAATACGAGGTAAAGACAACAATTTCTCCTACTGCTGGGCATGGGAAATTCCCCGAATGAAAACAATGCCATATCACTGCATGTCAATTTCCATCTCTATTCTGGATGATGCAATTTGTCTACAGAGCAGGCCGGATCTGTGGACCTCATTACTTGAAGAAAAAAAAAAAAAGAAAAAAAAATATGGACAATTTTTCCTATTCTTTATTGTGCTCAGGTCTGCAGATCCATTACAATGGGATTTTCATAGCTATGTGCCTCTAGGGTGGGAAGCAGAAGCATTCTTTAAATATGGACATCTAAAACCAAGTATATTATATATACTCTATCTTTCCTGGGGCACTACAGTATTGACTTCTGCCAAAAAAAATGGCCACGGTTAAAATACTGGATTAACCAATATATAAAATATGGATGAACGAATATACCAGTGCTCATGCAGCTGCCTGGCAAATCTCAATACAAGAAACATGACTTCTCTTCCCTAAGACTGTCAGTGCTCCTAAGGATTGGACTTTACTGCTTGACAGAAGGAAGAATATTTCTTGAATTTACTTTGGGAATGAATACTATGAAAATAAATTGCAGTGTTGTTGTAGCCGTGTTGTTCCCAGGATATTAGAGAAATGAAGTGGGTAAGGTAATCTCTTTTATTTGATGAAAGAGACAAGCTTTCATACTACACAGAATTCTTCTTCAGGTCTGTGAAAGGTACTCATTGTCACAACTAAATACAAGGTGGAACAGATTGTTTAGCATAAGGAGCTAATGTTGTAGAGGACCATTCAAGATGAAATGGGCAGTTAACACTCGTGCAATCATAGGAAAAAGGAGGGTTAGTAAGTTCTAGATTGTTGTATTGAACCATAAATCCAGTGAGTCTATTGAGTTCATGATTTTTGGTATCTAGCAGTTATTAATTTAAGTTCCCAGGCTCATCTTTTGAAAGTGTTGTTCAGGTTTCCTTTGAGGATGAAAACTGAGAAGTCAGATAAAGTGTGATCATTTTGTGAAAAGTATTCACCCACAGGTGATAAGGTTTTTTTTTTGTTTTGTTTTGTTTTTGTCTTTTATCATTTTTCTGTAGGAGTTAATTCAAGAGTGTAGTGACTGTCTGGTTTCACCCATATAGTTGTTATTGGGGCATTTAGTGCACTGGATGGACATACACCCCACAACTCAAAGCGGCACCAGACTCTGTCATAACAGACCCAAAAGCTGCGCACACATCTCCACTGCGACAATTATCAATACCCCCCACTACACACCTCTCAAGATCCATGTGTCCTATACATGCCTATCACAGCAGGGCTTCACAACTATATGTTGCCCTTGGAATTCCACATGGGATTTTTATGACAGTAATTAACGAAGAAAACTGACGAAAATCAATTCCTGTTCAAATATTAATATACTTGTAGATCTAATTTATTTAAGCCCACAGTTAAGCTTAACTATCTTTTAGTCAGAAAGGTTTTTCTGATATTAACCTAAAGCACACTTGCTGCAAGCTAAGCCAAATCACTTCTTCTCCTGCCCGCAGACATGGAGAACAACTGACCACCATTCTCTTTATGACGACCTTTCACATATTTGAAGACTTACGTCCTGTCCCCCACCCCCCAAAATATTTTCTTCTCTAGACTACATGTATCCAACTTTTTTCAACCTTTCCTCACAGATCAGGTTCTCTAAACCTCTTATTTTTGTTGCTCTCCTCTGGACACTCTCCAATTTTTCCATTTCTTTCTTTTGGTTTGGTACCCAATACTGAACACACACACACCCCCCATCTGAGGCCTCCCAGCATTCAAGAGAGAGGAATGGTTATCTCCCAGTTAATATACCGCAGGAATGACATTTGCTTCATTTGCAACAGCATCATATTGAGGACTCATTCTCTTTGTGATACACTATAAATGCCCAGATCCTTTTCTGCAGTACTACTGCCTAGCCAACTATTGCCCATTTTGTACTTGTGCATCTGATTTTTCCTTCCTAAGTGTAGTACTTTGCACTTATCACTGAATTTCATCACATCCCTTTCAGACCAACTCTCCAACTTATCAAGATCATTTTGTATTCTAATCCTGTCCTTCAAGGTGCTTGTAACCCATCCCAGCTTCATGCCATTCACAAATTTAATAAGTGTATTCTCCACTGTGCACTTCAAGTCATTAATGTTAGCAACAAGAAGAAAGTCAAAGAAAGTGTGGGCCCCTTACTGAATGAGGGAGGCAACCTAGTAACAGAGGATGTGGAAAAAGCTAATTTACTCAATGCTTTTTTTTGTCTCTGTCTTCATGAACAAGGTCAGCTCCCAGACTGCTGCACTGAGCAGCAAAACATGGGGAGAAGGTGATCAGCCCTCTGTGGAGAAAGAAGTGGTTCGGGACCATTTAGAAAAACTGGACGAGAACAAGTCTATGGGGCCGGATGCACTGCACCCAAGAGTGCTAAAGGAGTTGGCGGATGTGATTGCAGAGCCATTGGCCATTATCTTTGAAAACTCATGGCGATCGGGGGAGGTCCCGGATGACTGGAAAAAGGCTAATGTAGTGCCAATCTTTAAAAAAGGGAAGAAGGAGGATCTTGGGAACTACAGACCAGTCAGCCTCACCTCAGTCCCTGGAAAAATCATGGAGCAGGTCCTCAAGGAATCAATTCTGAAGCACTTAGAGGAGAGGAAAGTGATCAGGAACAGTCAGCATGGATTCACCAAGGGCAAGTCATGCCTGACTAATCTAATTGCCTTCTATGACGAGATAACTGGCTCTGTGGAGGAGGCGAAAGCAGTGGACATGTTATTCCTTGACTTTAGCAAAGCTTTTGACACGGTCTCCCATAGTATTCTTGCCAGTAAGTTAAAGACGTATGGACTGCATGAATGGACTATAAGGTGGACAGAAAGTTGGCTAGACTGTCAAGCTCCAAGTCTAGTTGGCAGCCGGTATCAAGCGGAGTGCCCCAAGGGTCGGACCTCGGGCCAGTTTTGTTCAATATCTTCATTAATGATCTGGAGGATGGCGTGGATTGAACCCTCAGCAAGTTTGCAGATGACACTAAATTAGGAGGAGAAGTAGATACGCTGGAGGGTAGGGATAGGATACAGAGGGCTGTAGACAAATTAGAAGATTGGGCCAAAAGAAATCTGATGAGGTTCAACAAGGACAAGTACAGAGTCCTGCACTTAGGACGGAAGAATCCCATGCACCGCTACAGACTAGGGACCGAATGGCTAGGCAGCAGTTCTGCAGAAAAGGACCTAGGGGTTACAGTGGACGAGAAGCTGGATATGAGTCAACAGTGTGCCCTTGTTGCCAAGAAGGACAATGGCATTTTGGGATGTATAAGTAGGGGCATTGCCAGCAGATCGAGGGACGTGATCGTTCCCCTCTATTCGACATTGGTGAGGCCTTATCTGGAGTACTGTGTCCAGTTTTGGGCCTCACACTACAAGAAGGATGTGGACAAATTGGAAAGTGTCCAGGGGAGGGCAACAAAAATGATTAGGGGACTGGAACACATAACTTATGAGGAGAGGCTGAGGGAACTGGGATTGTTTAGTCTACAGAAGAGAAGAATGAGGGGGGGATTTGATAGCTGCTTTCAACTACCTGAAAGGGGGTTCCAAAGAGGATGGATCTAGATTGCTCTCAGTGGTAGCAGATGACAGAACAAGGAGTAATGGTCTCAAGCTGCAGTGGGAGAGGTTTAGGCTGGATATTAAGAAAAACTATTTCAGTAGGAGGGTGGTGAAGCACTGGAATGCATTACCTAGGGAGGTGGTGGAATCTCCTTCCTTAGAAGTTTTTAAGGTCAGGCTTGACAAAGCCCTGGCTGGGGTGATTTAGTTCGGGATCAGTCCTGCTTTGAGCAGGGGGTTGGACTAGATGACCTCCTGAGGTCCCTTCCAACCCTGATATTCTATGATTAATAAAAATACTGAATAGTACCAGACAAAGGGCAGTTTTCTGTGGGACCCCCACTAAAAGTGTCCTCCCAGTTTGAAATGAATCACTGAGAACTATTCTGTGAGAATGGTTTTTCAACAGTTGTACACCCATCTTATAGCAATTTCATCTAGACCACATTTCCCTAGTTTGCTTGTGGGAATGTCATGTGCGACTGCATCAAAAGCCTTACTAAAATCAACATATATCATATCTACAGCTTCCCCCTTATCCAATAGGCCAGTAACCCTGTGAAAGAAGAAAACTAGGTTGTTTTGGCTTGATTTGTTCTTGACAAATCCATGTGGTCTAGTAATTATCACTCAATTATCTTCTAGGTACTTACAAATTGATTTTTTTAATAATTTGTTCTGGTATCTTTATGGGTATCTGGTTGACTGGTCTATAATTTACAAGGTCCTCCTCTTTCCCCTTTTTAAAGATAAGTACTATGTTTGCCCTTCTCCAATCCTCTGGGACCTCATCCATCTTTCATGAGCTCTTAAAAATCATCACTAATGATTCTTAGATTGCTTATTGTCCTTAAGTACTCTAGGGTGAATTTTGTCAAGTGCTGCTGATCTGAATACATTAATTTATTGAAATATTCTTTAACGTGTTCCTTCCCTAATTTGGCCTATGTTCCTTCCCCTTGGTTAATATTAATTGTGTTAAGCATCTGGTCACAGTTAACCTTTTCAGTGAAGACTGACTCAAAATAGGCATTTAACACTTCAACTTTCTTTGCATCATCCGTTATTAGTCTCTTTTCCCATTAATTAATGGACCTAGACCATCCTTTGCCTTTCCCTTACCTCTAATGTATTTATAGAGCATCTTCTTATTTCCATTTATATCCCTTACTAGTTGAACTCTTTGTCCCTTAGCCTTTCTGATTTTGTCCCTACATGATATAGCTATTCTTTTATTCTCATCCTTACCAATTTGTCCTTGTTGCCACTTCTTGATTTTCTGGTCATGAAAGAGCTACAGATACAGCTATATTGGTCTCTTACTGTTCTTCCTGTCTTTTCTCTGCATTGGTATAGTTTGCTATTGTGCCTTTAATACTGTCTCTCAGAAACTGTCATCTCTCCTGAACTCCCTTCCTCCTTAGGTTTCCTTCCTATGGGACCCATGTCAAAGTCTGCTTTTCTGAAGTCCATTGTCCTTATTCTGCTGCTCTCACTCCTTCCTTTATTTAGAATCATGAACTATCATTTTGACATCACTTTCACCCAAGTAGCCTTCCACCCTCAGATTCTCAACCAATTCCTCCCCATTAGTCAGAATTGTCTCATAAAGCTGATCTCCTGTTATTTTTCCCCACCTTCTTAAATAAAATGTCCCAAACACATTCCAAGTTCTTTTTGGACTGTGTGTTTTGCACATTACTTTCCAACTGATGTGTGTGTATTTAAAGATCCCCCATTACTACCAGGTCTTGGGTTTTGGACACTTATTTGTTCTAGAAACTCCCCCACCCTTCTCCTCCTGTGTTTGTATTTTGTTTTTTAAGGGAACATAGGAAAGGGAGGAAAAGAATGCCATTTTAACATCTTAAAACTCAAAAAACTCAACACACACCTGTTAGAGATAAATGGTGTTGGCAATTCCTTTTTCAAGTGAAGATGAAAGAGTTCATTAATTATTTTTAGAGCACTCAAACCTGTGCTGCTCTGATGCTTAATATGCTGCAGATAATGCCCAGCAATGAGAGACCTTGCACAGACAAAAGTTTAGCAGTTCCATTTAAATTTAGGTTATCTACCTGCAAATTACCATCATTCCCCTCTCTTCCTTGAAACTCAACAGCTCCCAATATGCATACAAGCTAAACAGGCCATTCTCAAATATCAATATATAAATATGTACACTTTGGGACCTCCAGTTATTTTTCAAGGACAGGGGTTGGCACCATCTTATACTCAAACAACTCCTAACCTAATCAATTCCCACAACCCCACCTTGTAACAGGATGGAAATGGGTTTCTTTTTAAAGGGGAGGTAACCCTAAACTGCAGAAGAAAATGGTAGTGGAAAATCATGTAGAAATACTGGTAAGATGCCTGGAGAATGTACACATAATCCAAGTGTACTTCAGAAATCACTGAAAAAAAGTGATGATTTGGGACTTTACTAATAACTTAGAAGGTTATTGTTAAAATCTGGAAAATGCCCTCTATGAGAAACAGTATAGCATTTTCTAATGATGTAGAGTTTCTTTGGAAGAATAAACCAACTACAGTTTTCTAAAATGTAAGAAAGATTTATATTCACAGTAGCTGCTGTTTTTAGTTAGTTATGGAAAATCATTCTGGGAATGCTCCCTTTGCAACACATTATGTCTGTTTGATCTATTGTTGTGAGGGAGCAGTATATTGAAATTTACACAAATCTTGCCCTATGAAGTAGTCAGAAAATAGGATTTTTGGTAAAATTTCTAAATACTGCTTATATGCAAGGTAAAACAAGAGTGGAACCACTAGGTACACGGAGTCATTGCAGAGAAAAGTTGATCACTATGGGAGAGCAAGAACTAAGCTGTATCTTAATATTAGAAAGTGCTGTACAGCTCATCTCTCTTAAAAAAGAAAAAAATGTCAGCCAACCAACAGCATGCTTAACTGTATAACAACCTTAACACTGAATGCATCCGATGAAGTGAGCTATAGCTCACGAAAGCTTATGCTCAAATAAATTTGTTAATCTCTAAGGTGCCACAAGTACTCCTTTTCTTTTTGCGAACCTTAACATAGTTCCTTTACAATGAGAATTTCATTATATTTTCAGTCTGATGTCACAATATTATAATTTTCTACATATGGTGCAAACGATGCAAGTAGTTGCATTCTGCTGGAAATGGTTGAAACCTTTCCTGATTAGTTTAATTTTCCGATTTCTAGACTCTATACCAAGTGTCACCACATCCATATATACTGTAGCAATTCATTGTTTCTTATCTTACCTGCCACTACAGAGAAGCCAACGAGCTAGAGAATAGTGAGGTATGATCTTCTGTATGACACTAGCCATCACCATGGTAACCACGAGCTGTACACCTATCACACCCTGTGGAGGAATAAGTCAAGTCAGTATATGTAAAAACCCTAAAGTACAGACCTTTTATATTTTAAAAGCAACCTTTCATAAGAAGTCTAATGAAGGTTTGTTTTTGTTGTTGTTGTTTTTTAAACGAGAGGCTTACTACATCAGTTTTATTGAATGATCTGAGACTTGCTACATTCAATCCTAGACCTGTTCTAAAAAAGGCACTGTTAGGCCATGGGACCAGTAATAAGTGTCCTGTCTGACAGCTCATGAGTCCTTAGCAGTGGCGGACTTAGGGTTAGCGGGCCCTGTGCACAGCTTCATTTTCATACACACCCCTCCCCCACTCGGGATCCAGACAAGCAAAGGAACACTCTCTCTTATCTCCCCCACCCCCCGTTTTTCATTTTTTTTTCTTCATCCTCCTCCTATATTATAAATAATAGGAAGTAAATGACAGTACAGTGAGATACCTTGATTGGGGCAGAATCTTGGAGGAAGTTTGGGTGTGGGGTGCGGGCTCTGGGCTGGGGTGCAGAAGAGGTCATGGGATGGCACTTACCTTGGGTGGCACAGCTCCCAAAGCGATCGGCACACCCCTCGGAGGGTGAGGGGGGGGGGAGATCTCTGCAAGCCACTGCCTGCAGGCACCAGTCACACAGCTCCCATTGGCTGCAGCTCCCAGCAAATGGGAGTTGCGGAGTCAGCGCTCAGGGTGGGGGCAACACACAGACACACACCCCCCTAGGGACTGCAGGGACATGCCGGCCGCTTCCACAAGCGGTGTGGAGGAAGGGAGGCAACGCAGGCAGGGAGCTGCCTTAGTCCTGCTGCTGGCACATCTCTGCACGCCCCTTCGGGTGTGGCGGGCAGGGTAGCGGGTCTCATGCACTGCCTAGGGTGGGGGCAGCACGTGGAGCCGCCTCCCCCCACCCAGCCAGGGGCATGCAGAGATGTGCCAGCAGCCGTCGGCTTCCGGGAGCAGCGTGGGGCCACTGGCCACGGTATGCAAGCAGCTTGCCTGCCTGAGCCCTGCTGCAGGGACTCAAGGGCAAGTTGTCAGATGAGATTTGTCCTGCATTTTGAGGGTCCCCGTCATTGGGGGCCCAGTGCCACCGCACTCTTTGTTTCATGGTAAATCCACCTCTGATCCTTAGTGCTAGAAATGTATCCAAGAAAGCAGGGATTTCTCTGCTTTCTAGTGGTACAAGCAATTTATTTCTGGCCGTGACATTTCACAAAATATCAGACCTCAAAATTATGTCATAGATTACCATCTTGCTTTTTGTGCTTTCTTCAATTCTGACATGATTTTAACAGCTGATACTTTACAAACCTTCTAGAGCTAACGATCTATAATATTTTTAAGACAAAGCTGGAACTTCAGCTTTCAAGCAGCATAAAGCAGTTGTTCCCAACTTTAATGATTCAAGGGATAAATTAAAATCATGATGGAATTTTGACAATTTATGGTATAGGTGGAGAAAGGAAAGAAAAAAGCAAGATTGTAATGGGGGGGGTCGCACAACTTAAAGTCTAAAACTCTGACCACACAGCCCGTAACTCTTTGGCAAGATTAATAATGTCTTCTTATCCCTTGTCCTTGACCAAATTTTGCTCACTTGCTATCTGAACAAAAATTCAAATAAGATCACAAAAGTTTTTTTTTTATTATTAAATTTCACTCGATGCAACTTTCACGCGATACAACTCTTTTCCTTAAAGTTCATCTACACTAAAAATTGAAATGCTTTACAAATTGTAATTCCAGTTCTGTTCTTGAACACCCTACAGCACGCTCCAAAGCTTGTAAAATCAAATATTAATGAGTTCAATATTATGATATGAGTATACTCCAGACCTTTGCTATAGCCCAGGGTTCGGGATCAATGCGCAGTCCCGCTTTAACGCGGGGGACGCGTTGCCATGGATCCCAATTTAAATATTTAAATTTGGGATCCATCACCACAACCGCGCTATACGCGAATCTGTGCTATAGCGACGCGAGCTAAAGCGAGGGTCTGGTGTATCAACTTGCTTATTTAGCGTTTGCATATTTGCTGAGCCAAGCAATAGCGTTCTTAGTGGCCAAATGTAGCCCTCAGAGACCACTGCTGAATTTGATTAGCCGGCACCCCTTGACAACGTGTATCATGGTTTGATCTACACCGCTTGGATTGCCTCAAAGACCCCAAAGGTGCTCGCTGACGCACAGAGGCCTTGCCCAGTCCAGAATTGGCTAAAAAGGGGCCACTAATGATGTGGCAGGTCAAAACTGGGCAGGTGAGCATTAGGGTCTGTGATGAGGAACTGACTGGCGGATAATGTTAACCGTCAGTCTTCCTGTCACAAGGACTCTGTTAGATCATGGCGTGGCAGCCTCAACCATAGTAGGTGTTGTGATGAAAGACGTGCAGATGATGGACTTAAAAGGTCACTGAACAAGGGCAAACTTGGGTTGGCACATACCTTCTCAAGCAGTTTGCCAACTGCAATCTCCCTTGTGATGTAAAGGGGAGCAATGTGGCTCAGAACTAGAAGCCATGAAAGATGAGTTGGTCAGAGAGTTCCTGTGATGATGCACATTGTTGAGTCGAGTTGCACGTCAACAAGTTTGATGTGTGCTGACCGACTCCATACTGGCGCATAGTACTCTACTATTGAATTTGACATGCCAAGGACTGAGGTCCATAGGGCTGGTGCATCTGCTCCCCATGAAGAACCTGCCAGTTTGCTGTGAAGGTTGTTGCATGTATTGACTGAATGCTGACATGCAAAAGTCACCTGAACAAGGCAGCAGCAAAGGTCAAGAGTCACGCCTCAGTAAACAGGGTTCACTTCATGCTTCAGCTTCCGGCCATTCGTTATGACGTTAGTTCCCTTTTAGCAGTGGTTTGGTGGAGACAGAATGTGCTAGAGACTGTCTTGCTGGTGCTTGGCAGAAGGTGCCATGTCTTGCTATAGTTGGCCAGCTTGGCAGCATCGTCTGTCGGGTTTTCTCCAGTGCAGAGAAAGTCTGAGCCTGGTAGCCCGCAGCATATGTTGTCTGCATAGATGAGCTCCCACAATTGGGTTGGTGGCAGGTCATTGATGTATAGACTAAAAAGGTCGGGGCTAGAACAGACCCCTAGCATAACCTGTTCATTTGTTTTCTTCCAAGCACTTGGTTTCTCACCCACATGCATCCTGAACCATCTGTCTCAGAGGAGCAGTTCAATGGCATCAGTAACCCAGGGTGGGAGGACTCTTGATATTTTAAGAAGTAGACTCGTGTGCCACACCATATCATACGCTGCAGGGAGGTCAAGGAAAATAGCACCTGTTTTCAGATTTCTTTGAAAACCGTTTTTGATTAATGTGGTTAGAGCAAGTACTTGATTGCATGTGCTTAGACCACACTGAATGAATGCTTGATCGCCCTTCAAAATGTTCTCCACCTCTGGTGTTATTCACTGTAACATTAGGCTCTCTAGAACCTTGAGAGACAGAGAAAGCGGCAATATCAGGAGATAGCTTGATGTTATGTTTGGGTCTTTACCAGGTTTTGGGAGGCCAATAACTTAACATGCGCCAGATTTTCGGCAGTCTTCCTTCATTGGTGACCCTTGTGAAGAACTGAGCCAGCCAAGAGCGGACACATGGGCCAAGATGTTTCAGGAACTCTGGAAGGATGTTATCATAGCAAACAGTGGTACCAGACTTGATGTTATATAGCGCTCTGGAACTGCGAAAAGTTCAGAGCAAGCTCTGGATTTGTACTGCTGGATTTGACCTTCCCACTCACTCCGGACTCAACTATTCATTTCTTTTTCCAGGTGTGTCTTTCCCCATGCGAAGCAGGTGAATGGCTACTCTCAGATGATTGGCTTGGTTTTGGTGGTTGCTGGGCTATTCCAAGGCAACAAAGTAAAACTCCAGCATTTCTGGCTGGAACAAGTAAAGTCCAGGTACTTGGTCATTTCCTTTCGTCTGGCTCAGCGAGCACAAAGCTTCAAATAAGTGGTCAGCCTTGTCCAGGTCATCAGTTGAGTCGTACTGCTTGAGTAGAGTGGCAATGGATCAGTGTTCTCGTCATGCCACCTATCAGTACCTGGCACAGTCCGGGAAAGCTAAGGATCATCCTAGCAAACCAAATTCTGCAAGCTTATACTTGAAGAACCCTGGTATTGCCACATTCTGCTAACCCTAAGAACGTGCAATCCCGTAGCTTCCAGACCAGGGGGTCGGCAACCTACGACACACGAGCCAATTTTTAATGGCACGCTGCTACCTGCCAAGTCCCAGCCGCCGGCCCCGCTCAGCCCGCTGCCGAACCCAGGCCAGCAGCGGGCTGAGTGAGGCCGGCAGCTGGGACTCCAACAAGCGGCAGTGTGCCATTAAAAATCCTGCCCGCCCCAGCCCGCTCTTCTCTGCCACCCCGCCCCCCCCAGGGGCAGGGTGAAGAAGCTTGGTCCTGCCAGCTGCTGCTGCAGGGCAGGCAAGTTCCCCCCTCCCCTGCCGTGCTGGGTTCCTGCCCCTCCTCCTCTCCCTCCCGCTGATCAGCTGATGGCCCTTACGGGGAAGCGGGAGAGAAGCCGAGCCACAGCGCACTCGCTGCTCCGGGGAGGAGGTGGAGGCGGGGCCTTGGGGAAGGGGGGGTGAAATCAGGGCATATCCCCTACAGCCCCCTGCCATGAGCTGCTCTGGGCAGTGGGCTGCGAGCAATCCCAGGACCATAGCCCAAACCCCCAACCCTCTGGCCTTACTCCTGCACCCTCCTCACATACCCCAGCGCCCCCACACCCCATGCCCTGACTCTTGCACCCCCCACATTCCCACCCCCACCCTGAGCACCAAATGGGAGCTCCTGCACCCCCCACCCACATTCCCAACTGCACCCCTCGCACCAAATGGGAGCTGCCCAGGTAAGCGCTCCACACCCAAACCTCCTGCCCCAACCCTGAGCCCCCTCCCTCATTCTAGCTCCTGGCCAGACCCTACACCCCAACCCCCAGCCTGCTCCTTCACCCCCAGCCCTGTGCTCAGTGCACTCCCACCCTCAGCTCAGTGCAAAGAGAGAGGAAGAGAATGGGCTAGAACCAAGGAGAAGGTAGGTACCCACTCTACGTGGGCAGGGCCGGGATCCCAGACCGGCAGCGGGCTGAGCGGGGCCGGCAGCCGGGACCCTGGCTGGCAGGAGCCGGCGGATGGAACCCCAAACTGGCAGTGGGCTAAGCGGCAGTCTTCTCCCTCACCCCTGCACCCATTGCCTTTGAGGCCTTTTCCTTACTGGGAAAAAAAAGTACGTTTTCAACCCAAGTTAGCTAACACAAGCTAACTAATAAGAGGTAAAATCCTCATGAAAACAAGGCAGTCTGTAGTTTTCACATAACATACAGGTCCAGTTGGTGGTCTTAGGTGCTTAGAAGGTATCAGTAAATTTGGGTGTCGGTTCTCACATCCACACAAACTCATCTCCTTAGTAAAGTTATTGTTATGAGACATCACCAAACCTACTAAGGTTATTTGAGTCCATTATGTACATGATCAGGAATTATTGTCATTGACTGTGCAAATGGAGTTCCTCTTTCCCCAGAACTCACCAAAACACCTTCCATACCAGTTGAATGCTTTATTTCTCAAATGGAAAAAAACTACAAAGAAACATCCTATATCAAGCCTCACCATTGCATGGTGTGTTTTGGGGCATTAAAAGTAATACTATATGGTTCACTCCAAACTCACAAACTCCAAATTTAAATTTTCTTTTGTATTCTGAATATCTTTCTGGATTATGTGTGTAAAATACAGTAAAGCAAAGGCTTACATAATACCCTCACACAACATGGCTAGCAAATAGTTCCTGTGTGTGTCGCTATTCAGCATGGTGTAACATGACTGTCTTGATCTAATTTGTGGACAGTTCACCTAACTATTTTATAAAGCCCCGTGGTATGGTTTGAGAGCCTCCCAAAATTATGTGTACGCATAAAGGTATATTTGTTTGTCTCTGTTCCAGATATTTCTAGAGAAAGAAGCATATTTTATTTATTTTGAAAAAAGCTTTGCAGGCAACCTTTATACATCACAAAACCCAAAAAGGATACACATCCTATTTAAAAACAAATCCTTTACCAGTCACCTTTTAAAGCTTTAATAGATTGAGAACAGTCATGGGTTATGGCCTTTCAAGTTCTACTTTCGCCAGTTTGGGGTAAGATTTTATATAAATAACTAAAACTTGTATAATTTATTCTTCACTCAGGTTGTTGTATTTGAGCTATGCTTTTTCACAATTGTAATCTTGGTAAAGATCTGTAACACAGAAAGGCTTTCAGCAATGAGAGAGTGATTTTCAATCTTGGGCACCGTATCATGCCAGACATTTTTCCACGATTTATTATGGACAAGATGTTATTACTTGCAACCATTTTTTAAATCTTAAGATTTCACTCAGCAGTACCCAAAAATACAAAGTTTGTGACTTTAATGTCATGCTGCCACACAGATTGCAGTTTACTTCTCACCATTTCACAATACCACTACTAGTGACACTGCATTCAGTGGTTTAACTTAGAGGATCATGTTTCAATATGTTGAAAAAAATCCTGGTATTTCAATAAAGAAGCCATGAGGCCCTTGAAAATTACTTGAAAGGCGTTCCCCCTTAAATCTGTGAAGCAGCATAACAAGCACATCATCAGGGGAGAACTTATATAGAACATTGTATATCTTACCATTCTACTTTTGCCCATATTAATTGGTAATTGAAAGTGTTAAAGCAAGCACAAGTGAAATAACCTGAGTAAAAATCCTTTCCTCTCAATTGTTTCTTTCACTGACTTGGGATGTTGTTTTACTAGTTCTCCATTCATCACAGGATTTATCTTCTAAACCAACAAAATTTGCAAGTCTCTCTTTGCAGGTAAAAGCTATACTGTAGTAAGAATGCCAGCATTTTTAAGCACTGATACAGAAGGGAAAAAAAAAAAAAAGGTACATTTTCTCAGAAAAGATGTTCCCTAAAGTCTCCTGGGGCAGACAAGATCTGAATTTCTAATATAAAAAGAAGCTAAGAAAAATAAAAAAACATTCCCAGTCCCATTTACGGACAAAGAATATTTTTCCCTTTAAGTCCAATGTGGAAGCTAGCACAACCATTATGCAGCACTTCATTCTAATCTTTGTGACCTTTCTGCAATATAACTGTGGTACATTTTACATACAAGCCAACCACTCAATAGTTGAAAGACACGCTGTGAAGTTATTTACATTTTATTCCATAAATATACATTAACCCCCCAATAAACTGCATGTGTGCCATACAAGCAAACAAATACTATAAACAAAAATGCTCAAAATTCAGAAGCAGTATCAATTTCTGAAAGGTAAGAACATTTGGAAAATAAAATTCTATACAAAGAGAGACCTTATAGGGAGGAGACCTTACACTGTAATAATCCGTTCAGAAAACTACATGTAGATTCAGAATTGGTCAACAAAAACCACTGCTTCAATACTAATTTATATCTGAGCTGTTCTCTCTCTCTCTCTCACTACCTTTTAAAAAATAATTTCAACTCTGTACTCCAAGTGACAGCACGATTTTTCAGGAATTTGATCATCGTGCCTACAGAGCCTTTCAGCTTCAGATCACTGATACAAACCCAGACCAGGTCAATGGTGACAGAAAGTTGTTAACATCTTACAGCTGCTCAGAGGCATATGTGAAATGAGTCTGAATCAGATATCCAGCAAACAGAACCCAAATCACAAAACTGCCACTACAATTGACAGGCAGCAGAGACACCAAAAACTGAATAGGAATGGAAACTGAACTACTTTTTGAGCCATAGAAATGGTCCTTTCAAAAATCAGATTTAAGGCACCATGGCAGGATAGAGTGGGAAAGTTTATAGTCCCACTATAAGTATTGCACCTGTTCTCTAGATCAATCTAGTTTCAGATATTTGAACTATTTCTCATACAAATCATACACCACTTTTCACCTCACTAAATTTGTATTGCTCCCTATTCCCGACTTCAAAAGCCAATATTCTAAAATTAAATGTCATCGACCATTGTGAGCCGTGTAGCTAGGAACAATAAAGTTTCTTTTGCTTGCACAGGATATAGCACACCTTTCATTAACAGTCCCTTTAATGACAGGTGGAATTCAGCTGGGAAAATGTGTATGTGTTTTTCAGTGCTAGTGCTGTCACCTATGTTAAGTAGCAGGGTAGACAGGGCATGGGAATTTTTACCACATTGTCTTAAACGTTTAAAATGCTAGTAGTTGCCAGTGCATCATTTACACAAGCGCTCTTAACAATGAAGCTGAACTCATGTGGGCAAGAGTGGGAAGTTTTAGTAAAACACAGTCCTAGCACAGACAAGATGCTTCAAGGTTCCTGATGCGGCCTCCTATTCTTGAAGGACCTCAAAGGTTGAGGGGAAAAAAAAGGGGGGGGAGGGAAGGTAGAACAAAGTGTATTCTAGAGATCATGACTTTCACATCCTTACTATTGCAAAAGGTACATAAAACTTTGATAAGTTAAAAACAAAGTGAACAGAAGTAAAGAATGAATAATTCAGATAAAGTTGCAAAACACCTGCATCACTTATCTCAGA